AAAGAGAGAGAAGTCCACTATGTTCCACTAGGAAATTGAAGGAAATGATGAACATTCAAAACAACTTATTTTGATGCTAAAAACTGCGAAAATGGAAATTTAAGACATCATCATGTTTAAAATAGGAGTAAATTGTATCGTTAAAATTGAATCCATCTTGCTATCTTAGTTCCTACTATGTCACAGAATTAAAAGTTCACTCTAGAGCCAAAATTTCGATTCGAGGGTCGCTCCAAAGAATTATAATCTAACCCTACGACTGTATATCTATTAAAACGCCCCATCCATCTATTAAAGCTTTGACGAGAGACAGCACATGCGTATGGGTAAAAATTAGAATTAATCTCTGCAGTGTGGTCAGCGAGTGCAACTTAATATTCACGCCTTAATTTCGTACAGATTTAATTTATTGTCAAAGTAAAATACAGTAGTCTCTGTTCGCTGTTAAGGATCGCGGCGGAATACCTCGTCCTTAGGCTATTATCTCCTTATATTCGGTCGGCCGCTATCGCCTCCCGATTGGTCGGCTAGAACTCATTAAGACAAAGCTGTAAAAAACCAAACGACGTGCAAAGTAAGGTAGTAAAGATTCTTGATTCTTTCAGTTCTTGACTTTATAAAAGGGCGGTTGCTTGGTTGGTAATGATCTTGCGCTGGCCGTGGTTTAATAGAAAAGATTCCACATCGAGAGCGGCACGATACGTTTTATTGGAAGAATGATTATAAATTTATTACAATAATGGGCAAGCCGCGGAGATGGTCAAAGAGCTTGCTGATTGTTTGTATCTAACTAGCTGATTGTTTGTATCTAACTATCCTTATGTGACTGACTATAACCGGCTTCTCTCTATGTGTCTCGTAGACTCTTTCGGTACCTGCTCCTTATATATTCCCCTCGTCGCTGTTCTAGAAGCGTCGCTATTTTCTAAGTATTTTGATCTTAAGGTGCGGAAACATATATCAACAGCAGGCGAGAACGTCTTCTATTGTGTTACGTGGAGACTGTCAGGAATAAATAATCTTATAAGATTTCTTACAAAGCAAACGCCGGATCTTATCCGCTGTTATCTCTATATGTTTTTATGGCTTGGCTCGAGGCCGTCGCTGCTCATTGTCGTATAGGCAGTATCACATAGAGATAAAAGATACCGCCTAAGAGAAGTTTGAATTTCTTCTCTATCGATTTATATACATGTATATGTATGTGTATATGTATATGCATGTGTATATGTATATGTCGTGCACGATGTTTTAGGCCATATGTTACGTAACAGTCTCGCAGAATATAATGATATGCCGTCACGATGAAAACACGACAAGGTTCGGTATCTCGGGCAATTCCGTTTGGATTAGTAAAGTCATAGACATTCGGCATCCTTCGAGGAACGCATCGTCCTCGATCTTTACGAGCGAATTCGACAGTGACGTTGGCTCACGTTGCCAAGTCAACGAGTTCACTGAAATGAAAAACAATACGCATATCGGTGTCACATTATGCAAATCATTAGGTCCCAATTAATGGCGAAAGAGAACGCGCTCGCCGTGAAACGAAATCAATTATAGCAGTATAATTATTACAATTTGATAGCGTTCACGGCTTGAAATAATGATTGCCCGTGGTAACGATCGGTGGAGGAACTTTAATTATGTGCCAATTACATCGGTCGGCGATTCAATCAGCCGCGATAACGCGAATGTGCGCGCGCACCATAGAGAGAGGGAAAGAAAGAAAAAAAGAGCGAGCGAGACAGAGAGAGAGAGAGAGACTACAAGTGATTTAAACTATACATATATATATATATATATATATATATATATATATATATATATATATATATATATATATATATATATATATATATATATATATATATATATATATATATATATATATATATATATATATATATATATATATATATATATATATATATATATATATATATATATATATATATATATATATATATATATATATATATATATATATATATATATATATATATATATATATATATATATATATATATATATATATATATATATATATATATATATATATATATATATATATATATATATATATATATATATATATATATATATATATATATATATATATATATATATATATATATATATATATATATATATATATATATATATATATATATATATATATATATATATATATATATATATATATATATATATATATATATATATATATATATATATATATATATATATATATATATATATATATATATATATATATATATAGTGGCGAAATCCTTTGTGGATTTTAATTTATTCCTTCACGTCGGGCGCTGATGGATTCATCTGTGACCACCGGCGTACGGTCGTGACACGGAACGACGCTGATGCACATTAATCGAAATAACCGCGATAATGACGCCGTTAAAATCGCCGAGTGAAATCGTCGGGCGCAGCGATTCGTCGCGAGTTTTTAAAATCGTATCAGATCACTCCATCGACCATTGACGAGTGTAGCACGTGCCGTTCGCGTTACGGCTGATGGTCCGCCGTTTCGGAGTCGATAGCCGCCGAAATGTCGTTTCCACAGTTCACGATTTTTTCGCCGATCCGTCGGAGAGGTCAGAATTTCGATATCCGCCACCGGAGACGTCGACTGCGGACGACGTGCGCGGGATGATATTACTTTTCCGTTAACTCGTGTCTCCGCTATCAAAGAATAATCTCGTTAACCTCGCGATAGTTTATTTATTCACAACGACGGCTCTCCGACCGATGTAAAAATTAATTTTAAAACTCACCTCGCGCGTACAACTTGAATTATTTATTCGAGATGAAAATATATACGGAAGAAGGCGCTCTCTTCTCTGTCTCTCTCTCTCTCTCTCTCTCTCTCTGTCTTTTAAAAGTATACACGATTTGCATATTATACAGTGTCCTGCTCAGATTTATGGATTTTTATCTTTTCAATCTGACATATCTGGTAGATACACTAAAGCTTCGAATAATCTACTTGCTACTCCGCAGTACTACTTGCTATATCGTACTAAAATCGAATAATTTATTACTTCTGCAGCTTTATTGTGCTCTTTACTTGCTGATATTCGTACTGCAGGTTCACTGAAGGCATTTTAAGATTTATTTGATCTATGCTTGCTTTTTCAGCTATATAAAAACTAATTGCACTCATAAGTACTATTGTTTATTCTAGTTCACTTTATACAGTCAATATATGTTTAAAATCTTGCTTTTAAATTAAGTCACTCATTTTTTTACTTACACTTTTTTGTATTTATTTATAATTTCTTATTTATGTATAGTTACATTTATCTGCTTATCTATGAACTATTTTGCAAATCAATGTCCGAAATTATGTACTGCTTATGATTAAGCCTCGAACCTGAACTTTGAAGAGTTTTGTTCTTGACCGCAGAATAAATAATGCTTTGTCTGCCTGTTTGTCTCTTTTCTTAAAAATAAATAAATTTATCAATCTATCTATCTGTCTTTTAAAAATAATGACACAATTGGCTTTGATGTCGCATTGTCCGCCGGTTGGCATCGTCGAAATAATTCGCAACATTCGCGACTATTATGCGAGCGCCAGCGACGCTCGGTTAAATCGAATTATCAGATGATGCGCATGAATCGTCGTCGATATTATCAAATTCGGCGGGAATCTATTTTCAGCGCGGTCCAAGGAATCCGTCGTTAAAAATGTAACATGATGAAAATAGGACATTCGTATAGATAAATGTACGTGAAACGATCCTTCTGTTCCTTTCTTCATCGCTTTTCTCCCTTTTGTCTGTACAATAAACGAGCCTCCGGCGCCTTTATAAAACTTGTTACATCGCTTTAAATACCTCTCTTGTATCGATTTAAATGGCTCTCACATTAAGGCTCGTCTGTGAGGAAAAAGTCTCGCAACAAAAACTTTGTTATATGACAAGATCGGAGAGCGAGGGAGAGAGAGAGAGAGAGTTAAGTTTTCAGGTCGGCGTAAAAGCGACGACGATGACGACACGGTGTCGGTGCGGCTTGCGAAGAAAATTTCTGTTTTACAGAAATTGTAAAATAATCGGTTTTGCGTGTCCGGTGTCGCTCGTGTTGCAACGTTTCGGCTTTATAACAATAATCCTCCATATTTTATTTACCATAAAATTATCCGCACGATAATTCAGCGCGCCGCACTTCCCAGGCAGAGATGTTTTAATTTGCGTGCTTATTATTGCGCTTGACACGTGTGTATCGGAAAGTGCGAGTGCGCGCTCGCATTCACTTTAATTTATACCATTTCGTTTGACCGGGAATTTGCATAACCGGACAACCGATTGCATTCGTAAAATATTCCCGTTTAGTTTATATAACGCAAACGCGTCTTGTATGTTGCGTGATCCACATTTTTTTTCAGCAATATCGCGAAAGTGCGCGCAAGCACATTAGGCAAATATATATCCATTGCGTTCGACAAATGTCATTTTATTTTGCGCTTTCAGATATCCCAGCGAGATTTGGCTCTTCGAATCGTGCAAAGCGCGAATTATCATATTATTATCGTCATTATCAGTTATTAAATCAATTTACATGTGTATTTCAATATTTAATGCATTAAAATTTCTATAATTTTTATAATTTATTATATTATATGATGTTAATCCCGTGTTTAAGCTTTCTTTCCGGACTATCTATAAAAACAGCCCCAAAAGAGAGAAAGAGAGAGAGGGAGGGGATTTGTTTTAATAATTTTATATGAAAATAATTTTAATATACGGTGTGTCGCGCGTTATTACAAGTTTTATTAGGAGACTTGCAGGGACGAGCAGGGAGCGCAAATCCATTAGGAGCGCGTTCATTATTATTCGCGGATAGATTATGCGTCATTCGGGCAAGAGGTTGATGTGAAGCGATAGTTCGTATAACCTACATTCTGTTCGATTATTAATTACACTCGACCTTTCGAACCCCGTCGCCTTCTTATCGCTTTATCCTTTCTGTCGCAGTGTCGACGCCAGGGACCGGGACTTCGGTATTGCCGAGAGATGGTCGGACGACACCGTGTTCTCGAATCGGGCTTATTTCATGCCGGACAAACAACCAGCGGAGCTGGGGGTCGATCACATCAGGGAGGAGGACGCGGGTATCTACAGGTGCCGCGTCGACTTCCAGATCGGCCAGACGAGAAACTCCAAAGTCAATTTGACCGTGATCGGTAAGTTTGTTCGATAAGTGAATTTTACGGAGCGCGCGGGATCATTTCAGCCGGGTCTCCCCCGCCCGTTCTCACACTGTCCTCGCAGTGCATCCGCGCGGTTAACGTCGCGCCAAACGACGTGCTCGTTCGACAACACATTTGCGAAACCGATACAATTATCGGACGGATTTGAGGGATTTTCGAAACGGGCACGTGCAGCTGACTTCTCTCCATCGCATACAAAATACACAAAAAAAAGAAAAAGGGAAGAAAATGTTTGATGTATATTTGTGACTTGTGTAAATGTGACATTGGCGTAGTGAATGAATTACAATTGGGAAATTATTTTTGTAGTAGGGCAGAGGGATGTAAAATAACGACGTTAAGGTAAATTGCACAGATAAAATAAAAATATTATTTATTAAACGGAAAATATAACTTGTGACAGAAACTTAAGGAAAATCATTTCTAGACAAAAACAGGAATAAAAACAATTATTTATAATTATGTAATTTTTTAAGTAGAATTATATAATAAATTTTATAATAATTTTAAAATAATATTGTACGATAAACTTTACAATAATAATTTAATTTTTAAATAATTTAATTATTAAATAAAATTTTAAAACAAAATAAAGCGCATCATTTTTCTCGCACATGATATTCATCATTTAGCCTATGGTCGTTATATTTATTTAGTTATTAAAAAATAATTTTATAATGAATAAAAATTGATAATACGTTATTATATGCATTTTTAGATATATTATACAGTAGTTTTATAGAGAAAATAAAAATATTTACTACAATTGTGTAATTCTTTATAAAAAATATAAAATTACATATGAATATATTCCACATATATTTCTTATTATATTATTTATTGTTGTTGACAGATTGAAGTTAAACTACAACAGATTATAATTAATATATTAACAGATATACAACAGATTATAATTAATATATTAACAGCCTTTAATAAATTAGGCACCGACTTGTTATTTGTTATTAGCTTAGAAAAATTATCAAATTGTCAACTTATTTGCCTACTAAATGTTATTATAGTATTATTGATAATAACCTTATATGCATATTATTAAACTTTTTGTTAAAACAACAAGAAGACATGTAAAGAAAAAAGTTTAGTTAAATTTACTTTACAATGAACAAACCAAACGCGAATTAATTAAAAGAAATTTCTAATGATTAGAACCAAATTTGGTTCATAAAAAACATGAATGCAATGTCTTTTAAGCAAAACTCGTTTGGTCTGTTTATTGTCAGGTAAATTTATCCAAATTTTTCTTCCGTGTATTAGTAATTTTTTCCCCTCAATCCCCTCAGCCGAGGGTCATGAGAATTCCGCGTATTGGTCTCGAGATCTTTTTGATTTTATGATTATTAATGAGACGAACGAAATCCAGAAAAATCTTTTTCCACTCTTTGCGAAATCGTGTTCTTTCGTTGTTGCGTGGAGGATGATTTCGCTGAAACCGCAGCGCGGAGCGAGTTCTCTTCTTAGTTAACGATTCAATTAGATTCGATCAGTGATCCTGCATTGCACGCGGAAATGGTTTCGCTTAAGTTACACGCTCCCGTGTGCGATTGCGGCGTTTTTGTAACGTTGTATTTCGGATACGTGCAGCAGTCACATTTACAGTGAATGATAATGTAAATTTCCAAAATGGAAATTGGCCACTTTTTGTAACTTCATTCTTCGTCCGTCTGTGTGTGTGTTTTGTGTGTGTTGTGCGTATGTGTGCGTGTGGGTACGATAAACATTGATGTTTTGCGCTCAAGACCGATCGATAGTGAATTAGCTCGACGATTTCACTTCTTGAACTCGCATCGTTGTTATCCGCAGCGCGCGATACTAAAAAGTTTCGATTTAAACGCTTCATTTTTACCACCGGCTAAGGCATGAGGAAGCGTTCGGTACGGTCGCGTTCCAAGTAACCGAGGCTAATTGTAAACTTTGTCGGAGCTTCCATCCGCCTAATTACGTCTTTCATTAATACCCAATTAGCCGTGCTCGAGCGGAACGGCCACTTGACGTGTATTGCGATTATGCTAAAAATGACACGAAAGTTTTGCGGGCTTCGCGTAAGTGCCGCCTTGAAGTTACGTGTCTTCACTGCAGATCCCTCCCTTCTCTTGCGCACGCGCGCGCAACTTCGCTATTACTGAAACCCGTTGTAAAGTATTGCGAGTGCTTAAGGCGAGAGGAAGAGAGCTGCGAAAATCAACTTGAGACTTGGTGATTGTCGGAAAGTACTTTTATTGGAATTAAATCCCTTTGATGCTCGCTAAAATGGGACAAGTGTCGCGCGATCAACAGATAACCGTTTGTCGTCGCGCGCGCGTGCAAAATTCATAATTATCGGTAAATAGTTACTATGGATCGATGAAACATAATTATTTATAATTATTGTGCGCATGTGCCTTTGCAACTAATTGTCGAGAATTGTATCATTTGTGGACAAAGTAATGCGTATATTAATTTTTCTTGTCTTAGGAACTCTATACGAGACGGATTCATTCCAATCTAACATACGACGATCCTATCATCGAATATGTTTACCTCGCGGAATGTCTGGATAAAGTCCGTATAAGAAAACGAGATATAAGTGTGTGTGTGTGTGTGTCTAAGAAGTCACCCTGCCAAGTTAGATCGAGAAAACTCGAGCGTGAATGCTAATTAGCGCGCCCTTCTGAAACTTATTTTGCCCGATGGTGGATTTAACATTGTACCTTTCCTCGGACCGCGTCGCCCCATTGCCGTCATTGTGCCGACGTGACAAGCATTTTCAGCGTGCCGACGAAAGAATCGCAAAACGATAATTAAGCAAGCTAATAAATTTGAAATAATGTAAACGGCGAGCCGAGCCGAGCACATAATGTCGAAGGAGAGGAGGAAAAAGAGGACGAAAAGAAGAGAGAAGAAAGAAAAAAGATATATATACGCCTGTGTGTGTATAAAGAGAGAGAGAGAGAGAGAGACAGAGAGAGAAAGCGCGAAAGAGAAGAGAAGATGGAGGCTCGGGAGAGAAAAAAGAATCCAATTAACAATTCTGTTGAAAAGTTATGGAAACGCCAACGGGCGAGCGTGCGTCGCCTCGGGATTCGCCGCCGTTGGCCGGCATGCGCCAAGGAATTTTTCCCGCGGGGTAATTAGCTCCCCCCCGACGTGCTCTCTCGACCCGCCGACATTTCGCACGTCCCTGCACCGAGCAGCCGTGCTTACTCGTAGACACTCCCGGCCGTTGGTAAACCTTTTCCAGATGAACGCCAATTAACGTGCCTCATACTCCCCTTACCCATCCCCGCCGCAACGCCTTTCGCCGGCGAAATTGCACATCGCTCTCTCGCCGGTCCCATTTTTCCGCAAACGGGATGTACAGGGTGTACCACACTGGCGAATAAATGCTCTTTTCGTCGCTGCGTTGCTGAGCTTCGTTCGTTCGTAAAGTGGCAACGCAGCACCGAGAATGATCCTTTCGCCGAGGATTTAACACTGACGCGGTTTCCCGTTGCGTCTCAACGCACATCGAACGTCCGGGCGTTGCAAGTTTTTCCGTCGCGTCAACGTGAAATTCACATTCGCGTCGGAAGACTGTGAATAGAGGAAAAGCATCACAAAATTGATACAGGTATGGTAAACCGACATATCCATATTTCTTGAGTTGTAAAGTATTGAACTTTGTCAGATAGTGCGTGAATTTTGTCCAATATATACAATAGTTGGAGCTGAAGTGGCAGTTTCTGTTTGCAAGTGCATTTAATTGTGTTATTAGTGTCGTTTGACTTCCATTATGTATTGACGTTTTGTCGGGCATTTGTTTCGTGAAAATTAAATAAATCGGCAATAAATAACTTATTTGATAATGTTATTTTAAATTTGAAACTTTTTAAATTACTATCGATCCTGTGCCAATTTCTATCCTTTGTCACCGATCGAGCAAAAAAGTTAGGGTTAGGTTGTTCCGTGAACCCAGATACACAGTACAAAATTTTGTGTTAAAAACGGTCCACTGAAATTTTATATTACTTTAACGCGGAGAATGTGTTAAAAAGTATACAAATATACGAGCTAATGGTTAGCTAGTACTATTAGCTAGTAGCGATGTAAAAACCCAACTTTCCTATGTCATGACTAGATAATTACTAGATTCACTTTCTACTCGGGGTATTTTGATAGAAAGGTGTTTCTAGCATTTTTTGCACCCATGCGTATAAATTATGATTTTGCATCTTCAACAAGGCTTCAGAACCCAGAAACAAAATGGCACATCGCATTTCGGTGCTTTTCCTCAACATGAATGTCGACTTCCGATGTCCTTCAATATCGCGAGATTCATTGCATTTCCCACCGTTGATAATGTTCTTCCGGCGTGAACACACACACTGGTGACGGGGCATCCCGTACGTGCACGATCGCGATCGTCGGCACGCTACGACGGGTAGGAGAACGACTGTTCGCGACATGGGCGAGAACGGGCGATGCCCTGGCGTTAAACGTCGCGCCCGAGGAATTTAAATCGCACTCCTTTACGGGCCCGTTCGCGTTCCATCGCGTATTTGCGCGTCGCAGCCGTCAAAGATGGGCGCGCAGGAGCGTGTGCACCGAACAGGCGAGGATGCGCGGGGTGCGGGATGCACTCGAATCAGATGCACTGTGTGTCGCGACAATGTCGGGGAGAGAAGGTTAGTGGATGTGAGGGTGCGAAGAGGACGCGAGAGCCGTTGTGACTCGGTCGTTGGTAGAGCGCGAATTTATCCGCCATTTGTTCCTTTTTTTCTTTCTTTTTAAATCGGCACCTTTTGTATTCGGAGATACACAGGCAGAAAATAGGTAGGTCGGCCGGTCGATCGAACGGAACGCGATACGTTATCGGCTGACCGAATTAACCTTTGACTCTAATGCCATTGCGTCACGTTACGTGCGCGCTAATATCAAACGCAGAAAAATAGTGCAAAAATATCGCCTCTTTGTCGGAGACACGCGCGTACGACCGT